ACAGCCAGACTTAGAGTTGATGCATGAGATARAAGGGAGCCATGACGCTGGATAAATGTCATCTTTTAATTAAATTAATCTGGCCACATTGCAGAGATGAGACGAGAAGAAGAGACTGGCACCATTAAACGTATTGAGTTGATTTATGTCTGCAGTGGTGCCTGGGCCCGAACTCTGGTGGTCCATAATCCTGGTGGGAATTGAGAGGGCCCTATTCAATTAAAAAAGGGAACAGCCACAAGAGTGAGGAGAATTTAAATGTTGGAAATTATTTCACAAAGTGCTGTTTTGTTCCTCAGCCAGGCCCTTCCCTAGTAAATCATCTCGAATGTCTGTTGTCCTTGTGTTCCTAAGCTGCTTATCATTTCTTTATCCCTTATAAACCACGAGCTCCCATAACCCCTCCCCAACTATACTTCACTATTTTTCCTTTTAATCTGAAACTGCAAATGTGCTCAGCAGGCTCTCTCTGATTGTTAATTGGAATGTCCACTGGTGAAGCTTGCTCGGTGGCGTTGTAATTATTTCCCTGTATCTCTTTAATTTTTTTCCCCTTGCTCACATCTGAAACTGAAAATATCTGCTCAACCCCTTGATCTCAGCAATTAGTTAAGTGGTATGCAGCTGGTTATCTGGGGGCGGGCTCAGACTCTTAATCATCTCCGTTCGGGTCTAAATGGGGATCTTCTTGAGTAGTGACACCTGTAATTAGTGGGAAGTTTAGAGAAAATACTTTGGGAGCTGTGGTTCTCAAAGTGGGGTCCACACATAAACAGCATTGGCATCATCTATCCTTAGACCCCCATCCCAGACCTACTAAATCAGAAACTCTGGTGGGGGGCGGGGCACAAATTTTAACAAGTCCCCCCAAGTGCATGGCAGAGCTTGAGAACCACTTGTCCTGGAGAAATAGCTTCTCAGGGTTGAGTAACCAGATTCAGCAGGTAGAAGAGCAGGCCTTAGGAGCAGGAGGGAGGACAGTATAGAGAGTGAGAAAGGCCAGCCACACTGCCTTCCTGGAGATGATACAAGTGTCCAAGGAACTATTGTTAGCCGTGAAATTTTGTACTTGGCCTTTTCAGCCCTTTGAAAGAAAACCTGTTAGCTCTTGCTTGCTTTGTGCTTTGGAAAAATGAGTTCTGAAGTCAATTTTCTTGAAGATCTGTCTGTTGGATCTTCCTGCTCAAAGATCTGCACTGGGGATTGTACAATTAATTAGATGAAGAGACAGAGATTCATTTCCCACATTGGGTGAGTCTCATTTTCTTCTGTGGAGATTTTTACATGCAGAGGGTAGACTTACTTGATGGCCAAAAGGAAATGGGAGCATGGGTTTCAGCCTGTATCTTACACTGTGCACATGCCCCATTTGAAGCAGCTCTTCAATAAGATTCTTTTGACCAAGGCCCAGAGTCTTGATCAAAACACTAAATTTGCTTCAGGTTTTAGTGTCATACACAGAGAGCTTTAAAAACTAGGTACTCAGGCCATGCTTCCACCCAGCTTCATCAGAATCTCTGGGTTTGGGTGGGGTGACTTGGACTAGTATTTTTTATGTTCTCCTGTTGCCTCTGAAGCCTAGAAGTGAGTAACCCATCAGCTACCAAATCTGGTGGGTCCTTTCGTTATCAAATCATGGTTAATCAAGGATGAGTTAGGGTGACCTTGTTTTCTACTACCAGAGTCAGAACTAGTATCTTTCTTTCTGTTCTAAAAACTCCACTTTTTTTTTCCTGTTGGCAACATATGCCCACCTAAAGCCTTTTCTGGTGTAGGTATGCATCATCACAATGTCAATATGAATTTAACTGTGTGACCCAGGGTCACTTTCTTTTGTAGTTTTAAGTAACAACACGATTTCTTTGCTGGTTCTTGAAATTTCTGTGTTATCTAGCAAGGAAACTCTCTTTACAAAAGGAGGAAGAGAAGATTGCATTTCATTCTCCTTCTTCAATGAATATTAATTATGATGATAAAGTCTCTTGGGGAGAAAAATAAATCCTGCTGGCCACCCTTTGGTTGTTAGATGATGTATTCTCTTAAAAGATCGTGAACTTCTCCATGGGTTGTTTCCATTTGGGGAATGAAATAATGGAGTTTTGGAGTCTCCACTCTGTGGTCCCCGATTGTGTGATTTCATAAACTAAAGGCACTTGGAAGATTTATCACAGAGGGGACCCTGATGAACAGTTCTGTTGCCACTTAAAAAACCAGGCAGGCTATTTCTCCTTGGGCTCTCAAGGCAAGCAGGAAATAACTAAAAAGGGATATAAAATATACTCCCTGATCACTGTGGTCCTACTGGRTCCCAGGACCTGTCTCTGTTTCGTCTGAGAGTTCCCACAGCTTGCTATCCCCTGTTCATCTGTCAGGGCGTGTTCATGTTACCTGGTTTCAGCCAGAGGAATTGGCTCATAGGAGCTGCAAAATTTACTTCTTTCATTGTTTCAGCTCAAAGTCTAGGACCTGTAGAATAATCATGAGATGATGATGAAATCAGTACTAAATTTTTTGAAAGAAGGACTAGAGTGAAGTTCAGTTATGGCTTTTAGATTGTTTTCTGTAAATCAGGGGTGTTGTTGAGGTATGTTTTCCAATATGGTATCCTCTAGCTTTAAATCTTTTCTTTATTGCTTTTGGGTAAGAGCAATATTATAGAAGGAAACAATGGGAATGACCAGGAAGGCCAGGAGCAACGGAAAGCAGTTGCTGCACCTGATTGCTCATGCTTTTTCTGAATATCTATTTCTGTTTATGTTCAACCAAAATACCCTCAATGATACTGAGCTGTCATATCTCCACCCACTATTCCACTCCCCACCACAGCCTATCAAATATTTTTCCAACCAGATGTACTTCAAAGATACCATCAAATTAACCACAGAGGCATGGAATGAATAGGAGCTAGGGAACTCACGAGACTCCCCCAAGATGCCACCAAGAATTATTGTGAGGGCAACAGTAAGATTATTATTTGGCCTTGGTGCCATAATAGTGAATTATCCATGATAGACTTGGGAATGAAACTTTCTCTCTGTTCCCTTGATTGTGGGGACATCATTTTGAATGAATACAAATTTCTAACACATGAACCAAGTCCCTGCTAGTACAGAAGAAAACATCAGTGCAATATTTGGTACAGATTTCCCTATACCTGCTCACTTGCTTGTCACACACACACACACACACACACCACCCACCCACNNNCCCACACACACACACATACACACACACACACACATACACACACACACCATTTATTCTTCACTAGCACATCCTGCCAGTAGCTTCCAAATCACAGACATGCTCTGTCCTGTCTACCCTTGGAATCTGAAGTGTATTTTTGGTCAACTTTATGTATTTCTTCTCATTGCAACTATGGTGGCTAGGAAGTCTAACGCCTGTTCACCTTGTGGGTTTTGTTCTTGAAACAAAACAAAATACCACTAATGGCCCGAGAATTGCAGAATTGTCCCTTATTAACTCTAGGCCTGGCAGTTGTCAATTCCTTTGTGAAGGAACTGTTGTTCAGTGTTGTTTTTGTTCAGTCCGCTTGGTTTGTAAATGCACATGTAGGTGACTCTTGATGCTTGTCTGGAAGTTGTACCACATATTTGTGGTTTGGGAGATGGCAAAGGGCATGTTTGACTTGTAACCAAGATGAGGAATGGAGGAATCCAGTGCATGTCACATGATCGGTGATTCCCATAGACTGACATCCCAGGGATCTAAGGGGGTCCGCATTCCAACTGCACAGACTCCTGCCTGTTAAACAGCCAAGCATCGTCCTCACAGAAGTACAACTATACTAACTGGTATTGCGTATAAGGATTTCCAAGGTGCTGATCCTCAGAAATCCTTCATCTTCTCAAGCTAACTCTCTTCTGGAGCAAGAGGTCCGTGTGGCTTCCCCTCTGGGGAAATTATTTCTTTTCACCTATACTCCTTCTCCCTTCCCGCACCTTACCCTCTTTGTGTTCTGGCCTGGGTGTTCCCATTTGCTTAGTGATAACAGCAGACTATGAATTTTCATTCACAGCTTTAAGATGTTTATGAGGCTTTCCTGCTTCCCACCCAGCCCAGACCTTGGGGCTGTTTTCACACTGATCCTCAGATCAGTTTGATGCTGGAAAGCACACAGAAGCCATGTACCAGTTTGTATAGTCGTACCCTTTTGAAATGCCTACTCTTGAGCCAAGTAGAATGTGCTGGGGTGCGCATTGGCTGCTTGGCACACACACAAAGCCAATTAACCTGCATGCCAAAAACAAACAAATAAATAAATAAATGAAAATTAACCCTTAGAGTACTGCTTCAATGATGGGGTTTAAGAATCTTGACTTTTTCCCGGTTGGGCAATGCTTCCTTCCCCAGATCAGAGTGCTGCACAGAAAGTCTATACTTGGTCTCACTGGAAAGTTAACCAGGATCTTCTCCACCACAGCTTTACTTGAGATGCTCCTGGGTTCTTTATCTATTAATTCACATGGCATTTCCAAGATCCAAAACACAGCCACCATGTTTAATAATAATAAAATAGGTCTCTGTTTCCATTGTGTTGGAGGGTGTGAGGGTCTGATTTTTAGCCTTCATATCTGTCCTCTAAAATAAGGAAGTCAGTTCTTTAAGGGTTAATATAAAATCAAGGAATTTGGTGGTCACTCCTGCTTGTCCTTCCTCCAAGATGTCTGCATGATCTCCTCTTTAGATACGTAGTTCAACTGTTGAATGATGATAAAAAATAAATAAATAAACATGTAGATATAAATTTACCAAAAAAAAAAACCCCCCAAAGCAAATAAAAATGATACACTGACTGGTTGAATGGAAACCCCTTGGCAATGCTTGCTTGATGATCACGAGGGGTAGAAAGACCAAATGTTTTATTTAATGAACCTTCATTTTGTCCTCTACCCCTTTCACTACCACTTCTCAGGGTTGTGGGAAATGTGATGATGTTTTTCATTTACTTCTTGCTTTTTCTTCTTCCCGTTTAATAGCCCAATAGAATCCTGCCAGAATTTCTACAAAGATTTCACATTGCAGATCGACATGGCTTTCAATGTGTTCTTCCTTCTCTACTTTGGCTTGCGGGTAAGTTTAACAACATCCCTCCTTGGCATCTACTCTCACAGGGAAGGGGAAGCCCAGGGTTTCCATTATAGATAACATATGTGCATTCTGATTTTCAGGTTGTGAGAGAGCCCTTTCCTTAGCTAAGCATTTTCTGGAAAACATGTTAATTATGTTTCAAGGGGATAATGGAGATTAAAATGACAATGGCGTCTCCACTGACTCATTGGTTTCTCATTCCTCTGTTCTCTCAAAAATTAAATAGAGAAATAAACAACCTTTGGCTCTTAGAATGATATCTAGCAGGCTACTGCTGATGAAGGGTTCTATACAAATCTGAATTACAGAAATGTGTGAGTGTGTGCATGCACATGGTCTTTACAATTATATTTATAATAGAGAGTCTAATGAAGGTGAGATTATTCAACCTTCCCTATGAAGCTGTTGGAAACCATACAAAAACATATTGTTTGATCTTTCTCCAAGGCTAGCACAGTGCACTGTCACTCTCCAGAAGAGACAGTGTATCTGACAAAATTGCACATGATTGGTGTAGGACGTAAGAGAAGACTATAACTTCTCCCTTCAGAAACCCACAAATTTGCCCGTTAATCAAAGAATACAGATTGAATGCCAGCACTGTGCTTCTTATTTTTCTCTCTCTCTCATTTCTTCTTCCCCCCACCAGTTTATTGCAGCCAATGATAAGCTGTGGTTCTGGCTGGAAGTGAACTCTGTGGTAGATTTCTTCACGGTCCCTCCAGTGTTTGTGTCTGTGTACTTAAACAGAAGCTGGCTGGGTAAGTCAATTTCTTCTGCCATCTCTTTACTGGTTCCTGAATTGAGACAGAAACAGAGAATCCAGGGTGGATCAGAGGGTTGAACTGTCCCTACACAAAGAAAGTTCTGTGTATCCATGTGGACCGTTCTCTTGGAATGTTAACATTGATAGTGACAGTTCTTTTGGGGTACTAGCCCAGAAGGATTTGCCCAGGTAGTGCTCCAGGTGATGCAGTTTTATCATTGTTGAAGCCCCGGGGTCATCACTGTCACAGCTAGGACTTCTGCTCTCTTGGTTTTGACACTTGTCATTCAGGAACTTGGAGTCAGGGACTGTTGGGAATAAGACCAACTTTCCAAGTGACTGGTTCAGGTGCCCCAGAAGGCCTGCCTCTCAGAGTTAGCTTCTGTCTACTTACTTTTATAAGCAGTGGGTCCTTCATGGTCTATTTATACTTTACAAGTTCCTTTGGGAGACAGGACACTACAGGAGACTGAATTCCCTTCCTGTGCAGGGGAGAGTTTTTGCTAGTGCTGTGCTCAGTAGGTCACTTCCTGCATCTGTTCAAGAGGTCACTTCCTGTATCTGCTCAGGTCTTGTATCAGGACTAAGACAATTTAGTTGGGAAAAGTCACTTGTTCAGAGGATGACCATGACTTACAGTAACAAGTTCAAGATTGTCTTAATGCATTGTTTAATTTCTGCCCTCCTCGGGTCTACTGCCATGGGGTGTATTAGAGAAGAAGGAAGGCTAAAACAAGAGATGGAGGACTATTGGGGGTTTCCTTCTGTTCTTACTTTTAGCATTTTTTTGGCTTAATTTTTTTTCTCAAATAACAGGTTTGTGTTGTAATTGGTGAAAACATTAAAAGATAACACAAAGAAAATATCAATCATCTTTTTCCTTTCTTTCGTCTCCCTGAGTTGCCCAGTGTTAACAGGCCTTCCCATCTTTCTTCCATGCTCATTCTACCACCAACATGGATGTGCATATTTAACAGTGCTGTAGAGGTGTAGTGTTTGTGTAAGAAATTGTATTGAATCATCACTTTGTAGTGCAATTTGTCTTTTCTTACTAATACATGATGGACATCCCTTCATCTCTGTAATAATTCATCTTATAAAAGGTTATAGCAGCCGGGCGCGGTGGTGCATGCCTGTAATCCCAGTGACTCGGGAGGCTGAGGCAGGAGGATTGTGAATTCGAAGCCAGCCTCTGCAAAACTGAGGCACTAAGTAATTCAGAGAGACCTTGTTACTAAATAAATTACGAAATAGGGCTGGGGATGGGGCTCAGTGGTTGAGTACTGCTGAGTTCAATCCCCAATACCCCCCCCCACAAAAAAAGAGTTCATAGTGCAAGTAATTCATTTTATAAAATTTGTAATTTTTTTAAATTCCATTATTTGTTTGTCACCGCATATACACCCATAACTCCAATAATGAATTTCCTGGATATATACTTTTTCTTTTTTTTTCTACAAGCAAAGTAAATACCTTTATCCATATATTCACATATTTGTAAAATGCTCTTTCTATAGAAACTTCTACATTCCTGGAAGAGGAATTGCTGAGTCAAAAAATATGTGTATTTTATCTTGTAGATATTGATGGATAGCATTCTAAAAATGTTATGTCAAGTTGTACTTCCACTAGCAATATATTTTGATTTTCTTGCTAGCAGCACTGTGAATTTATTACATACCTACTGTCAAGTATTTTAAAAATGAGCATCTTTAGTGTATGTTTATCACATACACAACATGCACATATGTGTGTACATATATGTGTGTGTCCATATCCTTACATGGATCCCATTTTCTACTTGTTTTCTCATTAGAATCATATTCACTTGCTCAGGGGAAAAGTTATGGTGCGAGAGGTGCTTGCTTCAGTGGTTTTTCTAGCTAGTGTGATGATTCAAGAAGTGTCCTGAGTGTATCCTCTGTGTGCCTGTGAGCCAAGGGACCCAAAGGCCTCCCCTTGACAGTTATCTGGCTTTTTAACCTGGGGAGCTGAATTTTTTTTTTTTTCACTCAGCCTGTTTTTTTTTTTTTTTTTTTTTTTAAAAAAACGGGCTTGATGATCTCAAGGTTCTTACAGCTCAGAAAGTCTTTAAGACTCTTGAATCATTAATGAGAAGTTTGCATTCTAGGTTATTGGGGAGAAGTGGCAACTTAGTGAGATTAACTGAATCCAAATTGTGGATGAACTTTTAACTTTTATTTATTTATTTATTTGTGTGTGTGTGTGAGTTCAAACACTTACCCATTGCCATACTCACACGCACACACACGCCCCTACACCTCCCTAAATCCCCCAAATGAACAGAAAAGCAAAGGAAAATTTATTATATACTATTGTCAAGTTTTAAAAAATGAGTATCTTTAGTGTGTATGTGTTAATCTCATGCACACCGTGCATGTATGTGTATATATGGATCTGCTTTCTTTTCCTGTCTGGGCTCTAACTACACAGTGCACTTGAACAATCACTTGACTTTTCTGGACTCTCAGTTTTCCCATCTTAAAAATGTGGATTTTAAACTAACTCACCTTCCATTCTTCTCACCTTGTAAATTTGAATTTTATGGTGTGTATCCACCCTTACTTGTTCCCCTATGCTCTGATGGTCATGCAAGTCCCTTCATGACTGGGGTGGCAATGTTCTCTACAGCAGACAGATTCTGCCCCAGGTAAAGGTGTGCAAGCCAGTTTCCTTGATGCGAGTGAAGTGTTCCTTAACGTAGCTTGGTGTCAGTATTCCCTAGATGCTTTTGAGCCCACAGCCTTGGGTGGGTGGCTCAACCTTGATTTTTGGAGGTGTTTTCCAATCTGATGAAAGATCTACTAGAGCAATCAGGAAAGGGGGAAGAAGAAAAGGAAATAGATCAGGTTTAACTGCATTTCTGACAAGACACCTCCTTGCATCAATTGTGGTTACTCTTCAAATGAAAGATGCTCTGAAATGCATTTCATTATGTTCATTTGTTGACCAGTATTTGTTGAGTGCCTACTGTGTGCCATACAGTGTTCTGTATAATGGAGAAACAACAGTGAAGATAATAGACCAAGAGTCCCACATTCCTACACTACAGTGGGGGAACAGGAAACCATAGACCTAATCCATAATTAAATGATGTATTAGGAAGCATCGGTGCTATTGAAACCAAAAACAGACTGGTGACCTTCTGGGCCATGAAATAATAACAACAGCAGTAACAACAGCAATAAAAATAAAAATAAATCTCTCTCCTTTGTAAAAGAAAATAAACACTTTTGGTTCTTTGGTAACTGATCTTCTTGGGTGAGATCCCAAATGAATCTGCATCTTCTAGAAGGTAATTCAGTATAATCATATTTCAAGCTTCCTCTGTCTGACTTAATACAGGGGTTTATTATTCTGTGAAACAATTATTGTACCAAAGAGTTGCTGGAGGAAAAAAAAAAATGAGCATTCCCAGGAAGTGTGCTCACAAAGGGAAGGGACCATCCCACAAAATGGGAACATTCTGGGTTTCAGGAAGCATTGCTCTCCTGGAAGACAGAAGGGTGCTACTTTTGCTGACTGAAGTTTGAGATGAGATATAAGAAATAGAAATCTATCCCAGTCTACAAGAATTTTTGAGGGTAGAGATTGGGACTGAGCTGGCACCATAGGGAAGAAAAGCCAGAGTGAAAGCCAAAGCTCTGTCCCTTACCTTCCCCAGAGCACAGTCCATACCACATTTGTCCTCTTCTTATTAATTTTGGATAGCATGTTTTATAGTGCAGTACATGGGTACTTTGTTGCATGTGTTATTTTAACAACACTGATATGTATTCAAATGCTTCTACTCTGTTCTGGGCACTTGGCTAAGCCCCTCGACCACCTCAGCCCAATCTTCAGAGCAGGCCTATAGACTAGGAGTTACTGCCTCTGTTTGGAGATGAAGTAACTGAGGCTCAGCAAGGTCACCTCTCTTTTCCAAAGGTCACACAGCCTGTGGGGGGTGGAAAGGGTGATTCTTCCCCCATTTGGACACTCAATGTCCATACTCTTATTTTTCTCTTCTGCCTTGGTCCTTACCCTTCAAAGATTTGGGGTTTAGGGGACAGAGTTGGGAATGATGGAGCTGATTCTCTTGCTTTTTGTTGACATCCCCCACCCCCCTCTAGGGCTTCATGTGAGGCAGGAAAGGAGGGAGAGATCTTCAAGAAGGAGCATTCTGGTGTCTTCTCTTTCCACTCCTCCTGGCCCACCTTTGGTGTTTAGGAGCACTACAAGGACCAGGGAACACACAGAGCTACTGTAGTGTCCCCAAGTCTCAGTGTGCTTTACCACCCTGAGAACCTGTCCTGTTCCAGCTGGGAGATAGAACAGGGGCTTCCACACACCCCGGATTCATAGAAAGGAAGGATCAGAGCCACGTTTGGAGCTGGACCAACACAATTCACATCTGGCCTCAGTCACCTACCGACAGTCACTTTGAGAAAGGTCTTTTTGTGTACCTCAGGCTCAGTTTTCTCAGTCTTACCTTCTGTAAAATGGGGATAATCCCAGCAGCCACCTCAGTAGGTCACTATCAAGACATAATGAGGCACAGAGAGCAGGACAACGTGTCCACGGCGTGAGCTTAGTGAGAAGCCATGAGTATCCCTGGCCTCTCTCTCTAAACTGCCTGTCATATTTTAAATACCAGAAGAGAAAATAAACCAGAATAGAACCCAAAACAAGGCAGCGGGATGTGGGGGCACCACGTGGGCAGGCGGCAAGTGGCTGCTTGCTTTACTTCCTGTCCCCACATRCCCACTTACTCATCTTTGTCGTCTCCCCACAAAATCCTCATCCTTCCCCACTAAAATAAATGCACCTTGAAACGAGAGACACATCTTATTTTGAGACTCGAATAATGTTCTCTAGGGAGAACTCATTTGTCTGTCTTGTTTTTTTAGGAGCCATTTTCCCAAAGAGGGCAAGGGACTTGCTTCCTTTATATGTTTTTGTAGAGGATCACCTTGTGTCATTAGAGGTATAAGT